CCAGAAATAAAGCCGACAAAGGAACTTGTATAGATCTCGGAGGGGAAGCGACTACACAAAACTTTTTAAAAGTTCTAGTGAGAACGGTAGGAACTTTGCAGGAAGTTTGCAAAAGTCTTTACCGCTAATATTTAGAGCTAGACTCAAAGAGCGAAAAGGAGAAATGTTTTAATATTTGCAGGCAACTTTTGTACAGTATTTATCAAACTCAACATGGCAATCAGAATGTCCATCGGTCATAGGGAGAGGGGAGAAATCAAACCCCAGAATTCGCGAGTGGTTTTTTACACACAGACTCTCCGTGGAGCTCCGTGGCCCTGGCAGCTCTGCTGACGGCAGCTGCGGGAGGAGAGGGAGTTCTTGTGCAGCATTTGGACGCTGAAATTGTTTTAGAAATTGTACAAAAGGCAGAAGCGGTAGGAAGGGGACTGGCGAACCGTGGGCTTGGTTTGCTGGGTGAGGGCAAACGTTTCAATGTACGACATTTTTATTTTATTTTATTTTATTTTTTACTTCTTGTTAAAAAAGCAAAAATTGCCATGAAGGTTCACACGCCGTTTGTTAATTTATAATAACTTTTTTGTTTCCAGACTTCATCCCGTTCAAAGAAAAGGGAAAAAAAAAAACAAAAACAAAAACAAAAACAAACAAAAAAAAAACCCCACCAACCTGAAATTACTGTGTTTGAAATATTTTCTTATGGTTTGTAATATTTCTGTACATTTATTGTGATGATATTTTAAGTTCTTTTTTTTTTTTTTTTTCCTCAGTTTCCGTAGTTGTATTTTAAAGATTCGGCTCTGTATTATTTGCAATCAGTCTGCCGACAGTCCATGTATATATTTGAACTAATACCATCCTTATAACAGGTACATATCCAAGTTAAGTTTTTACTCCATTATGCACAGTTTGAGATAAATAAATTTTTGACATATGGACACTGAAGTTCCGTTTGAGTGTTGGATTTATTTTTGTACCGCAAGCTGCTTTTTTTTTTTGTTGTTGTTGTGTTTTTTTTTTAATTATTATTATTATTTTTCAATAATTCATCAGAGGAAGGTATCCCCGCGGCCGACAGACTGTTATAAATAATGCAGCCGTATACCGAGGCATGAATATTTTTATACGTGTGGATAGACAGGGACGCAGCGCGATACGCTTTACCGGAACGGCCGTCCTCGACGCACGGCGGTGCGGAGCGGAGGCCCCGGTCCCGTCCGCTCGGCCACTTGTTGCCGGGGGATCCGCGCTCCCAACGCGCCCGGCGTTGCCCTCTGAGCCGTGCGGGCCTTCGGGGCGCGGTGCGGGGCTGCGGGGCTGCTGCGGGGCCCGAGCGCTGCCTTTGTTCCGCACTTGGCAAAGTTTCCGCTCCTCGCTCCGGGGCAGCGCAGGAGGTGAGAGGTGGGGCGGAGGGGGATCGGTCGGGCAAAGGTAAGGAACGAGAAAAGCGGCACAAACGAGCAGGAGAAAACGAGACGGGCGAACGGCGGAGACTCGCACGCGAAAATGACAGCTCTTTCTTGAATCCTATTTCTTAAATTGCCAGCGCGGTGTAGCCCCAATTCGGACAATCTCTGCGGCCGGTCGCGAGCCCCAAAGAGAAGCGCTGGCGCCCGCCACGTAGGAGGAGATCTCCGCCGTCGGTGCCAGGTAGAGTTCTGCTTCGTGCGCTCGGAACCGCCGCCGCCGAGGGCCGCTCGGTGCTGCCCGGCCCGGCGGGGGCGGCGAGAGGGGAGCGGCGGCGCAGCCCCTGGCACCCGGGCGGCCCCGCGTGGGTCCGCGCTGCCAACGCGTCTGCAGGCCGCATCGGGACTGCGAGTGGGGAGGTGCGGGTAGGAATGGGAGGAACGCGGCGCCCGAGGAAGCGGGGGGCCGTGATTGCAAAGCGGTCGCGTGTCCTGCTCGTGGCTGTCGTGCTTGGAGGCACGGACGTGGCGGTTTGCTTAGGCACAGGCCGGGTGCGAGTGTGGCTCAGCTTTTCTTTCTCGTGTTTCTGGTCGGTCGCCCGATTGCGATTTAGCTCAGGGAGGAACAAACGGGAAAAAAAAAGCGGGCAGAAATCACAAAAGAAGAGTTGGCCGGCTCGCTGTGGTTTGTGTCGTTGCGCTGTTCGCCAGGCTCGGCTCCGGCCTCCGTACTTGGAGCCGGGTGCCCGGAGAACTCCCGTTGCCGAGCTGTGGGGCTCCTCTGCTCACTGTGCTGCAGCTCAGCTCCCTTTGTCCCTTTTATTTCCGCGCCGTCGCGGTGTTTGGGCACACGGCAATTATTGCACATTCCCAACCTATTCTATTTCTTTTGCATTAATGCAACGAGTAAAATATTTTTTTTTTTCAGAGCTGTGCGGCGTTTGTAACGCAACTGGGGATTATTCACGTGGTGGTGAGCGCGCAGTCCCGCTCCGCTCCCCTCGCTGAGAAAAGGGGACTGGGAATAAAAGCCCAATCGATATCTCGATCCCATTTTTTTAGAGCGAATCTTAGCCAATTAACAGCAATAAAACCGGGCCCCTTTTTGAAGTGCTAACTGGAATAGTCGAGGGGGGTAGCTGGAATCGTTGGTGCTTTTACAATTCGCATAAAGAAGGAGAGGTAATACCATTAAACAAAGGCACTAAACCACATATTCAGGCTTAGTGTTTTCAGCAACTTTTTATATGGGCAATTTGTTTGAGCTTAGATTTCGGACTATGATGTAAAATATATGCTGGTGAAACCTGATCTCCCTTGGGCAGATTCCTCCCATCCATCCATCCATCCATCCATCCATCCATCCATCCATCCATCCATTTATCCGTTTACTGAGGATAACCCAAAGCATTTTCTAGGTCCAGCTGAATGCTTTTATTTTTAAAGTGCGACTTGGAAGAACGCCATTGTCCTGCTAATTTTCAATGCAACGCATTAAGTAACCCCATTCACACCTCAGCCATTATCCCGGGCGTTTATTGCAGCTGAGATGGGGATAGCGGAGCCCGTGGCTGCGGTTTTATTCTGTTTTCGGAGCCCTTTCGGGCATCCCCTCGGAACTGCTGCGTGCTCCATCCCAGGGCGATGCGTGGTCCATGAATGTCGGTGTAACATTTCGCCAACGTTGCACAGAGCTGCAATGAGCCTGAGGATGAGATTAGAGTTTCCCCTGTGATTTTTTTTACGGCTGTTTGAGGGCCGGGGTGTTAAAATATTTTACGGAACTGGAGAGGTAGATTAGCGGGGTTTCTTGCCAAAGCCTGGAAGCTGGTATTACAGCCCGTCCCAGGGGGACATCGCTCACATTAACCACTAAATGAATATTTGACAAGGGCTCATTCGGGGGTATTATTACTACAAACGGGTCCCTACTGGACTTTCCGAGGGTCAAAGAGCAATGGTTCAATTAATTATTTAGACTGTTAGGAGATGCGATTGTAATAGCGGCGCTTATTTCTGCGACCGACGGTTCTCGAGGGGGGGAAGAGAGGAGAGGCTGCAGAAGCATCTCGGGCCTCGGAGCGCGGGGCTGTGCCGGCCCGGGGAGGTGCCGGTGCCGGTGCCGGTGCCGATGACGATGCTGGGAGACCCCCGCTGCGGCCCGGGCCCTCCGGGTGAGCGCCTTCTCGGCCCCGACGTGCGGCAGAGCAGAGCGGGCGGATAGCTCCGCGATTGAAGCGACGTATAACGCGAGTCCGCCGAAGGAAAGAGGCCCATTGCTGATAGGTGTGATTAGATACACTTCAGTTATTTAAATCCCGAGCTAACTCAAATATGAAAATCTAAAGTGCGTGCGGGATTCCCGAGAGGAGCGCTGAGCCCCGGGCCGCGCGTTGGCCCAGCCGGGTTCTGACACCGCTGGAGGGGGGGGGGGGGAAGGGGGGAAGCAGAAGGAGGGTTATTTTGTTTAATTTCTACAACAAACATGTCCGCAGTAGTAGTAAAAAAAAAAAAAATGTTGGGAGTGTGCGATTAGGTGACAATAATATATGTTGAATGAATAAGAGATAAGCTGCAAGGGGGGAGAGGGAAGCAGTAATTACAAACCCAATTCATTCAGCTTTTCAGGACTTTTGTTGTGGGAGCTCCATTGACGGGCTTCGAGCTGCCAGTTTTCTCACATTAAAAAGAACTGATCAGCGCCTCAGGGGGACAAGCAACACCGCTTAACTGCATAGTGATGGGGTCCTCATTTAGAGCCATTACAACGAGAAAATTAAACAGAGCCTTTGTGTGCACCGGGTTTACTTTTCAATTGCTGACAGTTTATAGCTAACTGCTCAGAGATTGAAGTTTGATTGCGGTTTGATCGCCCGCTAGTTAGCACCGCCGCTAGTTGGGTTTTGGTAATTAAAAGCAGATTTCTGACGCTGGCCCGGGGGATGCGAGAAGTTTGGTCCTGCTTTGCTTTTGAGGAATCGAGTTCACTTGGCGAGGATGTCCGGCGCTGAAGTGAGTGCGGGGCCCTTTTCGCTTACAAACTTAGGGGGAAAGGGGAGTGGGGGAGAAAAAAAAAGAAAAATAGGAAACGCGGGAATGGAAATCCTCGGAGTTTTAAAGGT